ATTTGGATTCAGAAGGCTGCAGCTGTGGGCAACTGGTGATTGGCAGCTTCACCATGACAATGCACCTACTCCTGCATCACGTCTCATGCAGAGTTTTTTTTTTTTTTTTTTGTGAATATTGAATCACCCAGGTGACTCAGCCCCACTACAGCTCCGACTTGGCACCCCAAGACTTCTGGCTTTTCCCAAAACTAAAAGCATGTTTGAAAGGGAAGAGATTTAAGAGTGTTGATGAGATTTGAGAAAATACAATGGGGCAACTGATGGTGATTTGGAGAACTGTGAGGTCCCAAGGTGCCTACTTTGAAGGGGACTGAGGTGTCATTGTCCTATGTACAATGTTTCTTATATCATCTCCAATAAACGTCTTTTTCTCATTACATGGCTGGATACCTTTCAGACAGACCTCGTACAGTTATGTTAGTTCAAAGTTACTTCAGGAACAAAGATGGTTTAGAAATTCACAAATGCCCTTAAACATAAGGAAAAGTAGAACTAGATCTCTGGAATGGCAGCGGCTGAAGGTAACACCAGGAGCTAGCGACTCTCATCTTTCACTTGCTCTCTGCCTCCCTCCCATGCACCCTTCTCTTTCTCTACTGGCTGGTTTTCCCTTCGTTTTAGCTTCATCATGACAGTCATACATAATAACCTCAGCCTTAACTCTGTAAGATCTTTCAGTTCCAGCCCTAAATCACCAACCAGAAATTCCCTTTGTGACTCTTACTTCAAATCAATTGGCTGTCATTTTTTTTTTTTTTTGAAGCCAAGCCATGTAAGTATTTGGTCACTGATCAGTTGATGATGAGTCTCCCCTATGTCAGGGGGAAAGACTGGGTACATGGTTCAGTGACCAATTAGTGAGGTGAATTGCTTGTATTCCAAAAGGTGTTATAAGTGGAGCAGGTAACATCTGACACTGTTCTCAATAGTTATTTTTCACTAATGGTGCTTTATATTCAATGGTCACCTTCATTAGTAGACATTATTAGTATTTTTAATTTAAAAATAGTAACAATCACATAACTTCAAGAAAATGAGCTAATAGTCACAAATATAGAGAATTATCCTGAATATCAGAGGAAAGAAAGTATATTTAGCACCAAGAACAATATTATACACATAGAACATACAGGTTGAAAGAAGTATCAATGGCCCAACAAAAACCAGAATATAGTTGTATAGACCACAGAGCAGAGTCAAGAGAATGGCAAGAAAATGACCTGGTGTTTACAGGAGTCCAAGTTCATAGGTCTCAACACTACAAAGCAGTATTTTCAAGCCAGCATAATGAGGAACATATGCTTATTAGAAATTAAAAGGTAATTTATATATTCTATTTCAGCCACTATGACTTTTGAAAAATTACTTTTGTTTAGTAAATTTTAATAGATTGACTACTCAATATATTTTGTATTTCTGGCACTCTATTCTTTTCCTTAGATACAAAGACACTCAGTGATAACAAATTCGGATATAGTGCGACTGGCTCCCATCCCCAGCAAGACTCATTCCTTCACTTAATCTGAAGGTAACATGATCTGTCAGTTTTTTTTCACTTTACTCACGGTACTATTTGACCCTTATAGGCTTATCTATTTCATTATTTCCCCCTTATTAACTTTCCTGTTAATGCCCAAGCAACTTACCTTTTATTTCATTATTTCTCCCTCACTTTCCTTTTAATGCCCAGGTAACTCGTAAATATGAGACTGGTATTTGAGAATAAAACTATGGTTTATTCTCAATAAACTATGATTTATTCTCAAATACCAATCTCACTTGCCATAGTTGATTGGTTATCACTCTTTCTGTATATAACAAATTGGACACATTTTCCTCTCACTTGAAATCAATCTTCCCTCCATTTCAAAGTTCCTTTTTGTAGTCTCTTCTTATTGCAAATCCAAATTAGATAATTGCTGAAATTATTGCCTTTATAATAACTGTTTCAACAGAAGCATTAGCTGAACCCTCAAATAGTCATCATCTGTAAAATCACTTGTTCATCCACATCTGGTAAATTTGTCTACTACTGGGAGTTGAGATGGGTGATATCAGATTGCATAGCTAAATATTCGAGTCTTTGATTCCTAAAGGAGAAGGAAGTTTATTTGTTGGTATAACCACCAGATTAAAGGTACAGTTGTTGAGAGGAACGCCTAGAACCGAATGCAATAATTCAAAAAGCTTCCTTGTGACAGCTTAGGGCAGTCGTTCTCCAAGTGTGGTTCCAGACCAGCACCATCACCTGTGAACTGTTAGAACTGCAAATGCTTGAACCCCACTCAGAATCAGAAACTATGGGAATATGGTCCAGCTGTTTTCATAAGCACTTCTGGTGATTCAAATGCACTCGCTTGAAAACCACTGTCTTGTTTACTGCATGCAGTCCAAAGCTGGATATTTTTCAACAGGTATCACAACTCTGAACAAATCCGTAACACGGAGCTCAGCATGACATTTAAGTAACAAGCATAAACTGGGAATATCTGGTGTTATGGCAGCACCCTGTGAACTTCTAAAAGTAGAACTGAGATTTGTCCCTTTACTAATTCTCTAACTAGAGGGTCTCAAAGAGCAACTTCCCCCTCAATGGGCAACACAGACTGACTGGCCCTTCTCCCAGCAGGTGCTGCCTACAGGAATTCCTGAGTTTTCTGGCATGTGGAAGGCACCCTTCTTTTTTCATTTCTGGCATTAGAATTTTATTTTACTTGAAAAAGAACTTTTTTCCTCACTTGAAAAGGGTAGTTTAATTTTGATTGGCTTACATCCCATCTCTTCCCATAAAAGTATTGGAAGTGGTTTATAAAAACTGGCATGCGCTAATTCAGAATAGAAAATCAGGACTAAAACAGGAGGAAACAAATATGACCTATATGCACATATCCCTGTTGGATAAGGCAGACTAAGAAAAATACAAATAAATTAGCATTATTACTCCCAAGTATTTCATTCAGATAAAACTTGACAAAAATTTAAATGTAGATAATAGTCCAAAGAGCAGGAAAACGAGGTGTTTGCAAAGCACTCCAGTGAAGACTGTGGACTATGGAGTAAAATGCCTTACTTCTAATCAGAGCACTTTATTTACTGGCACATTTTATTTAAAAAAAAAAAATCAGCCTCAGTACCTGTAAGTAATAAACACAGGTAAGAAGTAGTTAACTAACTACATGATGTGATTTCAAGGGCACTAAACGTGCTTACGCCTCCTCAGCCTTTTCCCACTGCCCCACCATATCTAAATATCTTTTCCCTTCTCCAAATGCAGAATGCATGACTTATTAAAAATAAAATTTCATATATTGAACAAACATATTTATCATCTTCCACACTCTCTGATCTTTTAGAACAAATGCTGGGAAGATAAATTATCTTTGTTAATAAATGTATTAGGTTGTCTTCCTTCATGAAGTGGATTCACCCTGTCATGTCAGGAAGGGGGCACATATACCCTACAACCCTACCTGTCTGAAACAGTTTTCCTCAAAAGGCAGGGTGTTTTAAATAGTCTTTTGAATATCCTAATGGTATTACATCTACTTTTGAGGTTCCATGTGGTCTGCATTTTCTGAACATGGCCATGTGCTGATTATACATACTTAGTAGCTGGAGTTTTGCCATAACATATAGGGTGATAAAAGGTGTTCATTCCAGACTCAGTAGCAATAGGGAGAAGACGAAGGGACAAGACAGTTACATTCCAAGACAGGCTTGGAAGAGACTACATATACCCAAGAATAATCAATCAATTTTTCAAGTATAGAATTGTATTAAGAAAAAAAGAAATATTTGATGTGGGCCTATTATGTTCAATGCCTAGGCTATGCTAGGCAATTTACATTGCTATTAAATGAATGTTTTAAATCAACTCTGGTGGAATAAGAAAAACATGAAGAGGAAAACTATTAAACATCAGAAAAGTGCTAACCATATATAAATAAATTTCAGGAATGGTTAAGTGCCAATGCATGGAATGGTTAAATGCGAACAGTCAGCTTCGATTGTTTTTATTACAGTAGGAGGAATTTTACTCTTAATGCATAGAATTTTGAAGAAAAAATTTATATAAGCTTTTAAAAGAGGCCCTTTTGACAATTATTAATACAAATGTGGTAAGACCTTTCAAACAAATACCAATTTCATTAACAGTTTACATACAGCAAATAATTTATTCTGAAATGTTCATTTAGTTTCTGTTGAGACACAACTCATGTCTCATTAATAAAAGAGCAGCCATCTCACCTCAGATACCAGAATATACAACAAGTTACAGCATAGCAAAAATTCTACCTACTTTCAGATAAAATCTAGTTCAGGTAAAATAGTTTCATTCAATGTTTTACAATTAACACATATATATATTTTTGAGCACAAGAGTGTAAATTGTTACACTGCAGCTATCTAATGCACATCATGTGACCACAGAACTGTTAATTGAACCATCAGTTTCATTCATGCAGTAAAGCAAAGCAGGCTAGGTAAACTTGTTCATCGGGAACCATATTACTGTGAATTTCACAGCCACATGATTAATTATGATGTTAGATGGGCTCACAAGGACTAAAACAGAATGGTTTTTTTTTTTTTGCATAAATACTAATTTCTCCCTGATGTAAGTTTAGTCAGTTTATATTCTAGAAATGATTGATAACAGCAATATATCATATCTTCTATCTGTAGTGTTCATTATTTTAAGACAAGCAATAATTAAAGGATGATGGTATGGGATGCTACTTAAATACCTGTAAAACATACTGTACAAATATACTTGGCTTTACCATTTTCTTCCTAACTATCGAGAGTGCCTCCCAAAATGTGACCAGTGAAGACAAAGTATACTATCAAATATGGCTTCCAGAACAAAAACCTTCTAACAAGAATCAAACCTATTTACAAAAATTTTCAGTCTTTTAAAGTTTCATTTGAAATAAAATTTCTACATAGCAGTTGTAATTAACACATACTTTTCTTAGTTTCATTAATTAAGCTCTTTAAACAGATGTCACAAGGTAAGACCCAGAATGGCGCTTAGGACTTTGAGTTCCACTGGATTCTGTGCTGTCAGTTTTTGAATCTCGTTTCTTCGTGTTGCTATTCACTGGCGTCGGGATCTGAGACGGCCGGGCTGAAGTGCTATCTGCGCTGCTTTTCCTGGGGCTTGGGTTGTAATTAAAAGGAGTCACTCTGGCAGCAACAGTCCCACTAGGTGAACTGTGTTTGCTGGAGCTGCTAGAACCAAATGGGGTACGCTCAGCTATTGAACTTTCATTAGTCTCTAACGCAGGGACAGGGTTATTTTGTCCCAGTTTTGCCTCACTTCCTTTTTGGTCTGGGGCATCTACCTGAATAAAGGAGTTCAGGCGGTTTTCCAAACCCGCGGTGCGTACGGGGCCACTGCCATTTCCCACATTTTGTTTTCCCTGATTATCCTTTGAATCTTTAGCGTTTGGATTTCCCTTTTCTGAAACACTGTCAATCACAGGGGGAGTATTTCCTGTGGGAGACCTTCCGGATCTAGGGTTGTTAATGGGACAGTCCTCAATTCTCACCCAAACGTCCTCTGTTTTAGAAACAGCAGGTGCCATTTGATAAATTAGAGTCTTTGATTCAGCACCATTAGCAGCACCTGAGGAAGTGGTCTGAGAAGTACAATTTGTGGGAGAAATGTCACTTTCTTTTATTTTTCTCCATGTTCCTTTTGTAGATCCTTGGTTTTCCTTAGTTTGTTTGGTTCCTGAAATATAGTTCACATGTTTTTCATCTTCACTTTTTGCTTTTTCACTGGATTCTGATGAAGCAGAAAGAATTGAGGATGAACTTCCAGTTCTTCTCCAAGTGCTTACCCGAGGAAGGGACGATGAATGTTTACTGTGCTCACGTTTCCAGGTTCCTGACCTATTGATGGGAAGCCTGGAAGGACTTTCAGAATGGGAGCGTGCTATATCATGGCGCTTTGCTGGTCTTCCGTCATTATACTCTATGGTGGGACTGAGATTAGGGGGTAGTTTTCGCCACCCACCAGCCTGAACAGATGAATGTGTGGATAGAGACATATCAGGAAGGGAAGGACTTAAAACTGGAGTCTGTGCCTGGGACCTAGTGGGAGAATCTGGTCTAGAAGATGGAGAAAGAGATTCAAATGAAGCAGATTCCTCCAATTTTCTCCTTAGGGTTGGGCTTGGAGCTTCTTTGATGAAAGTTGACTGGCGTACCAATACAGGTCTCTCTGACCTATCAGATTCACTTCCACTTGATTTAGTTGAAGACATTCTAGAAAGTTCTACCTTTTTATTGGATCCACTGCTATTATTCATCTGATTTAGTCCTTTGGAGGCAGACTCACTTCTTGGGATACTATTGCCATTCTTGGATAAGCCTGCTTGTTTGGTAAGGTTCTGCTGGCTCATCTGTCTGCCTGGAGATGTGTATGACATTTTCCCAGAACCCGAGGACTTGGTTGAAGCAGTACTAGGGGATGATGTCCTTGGCAGTTGAGATAATTTGTTAGGAGGACTTATTCCATTTCTACCAGGAGAAATTGAATTTCGTCCTGGAGACTGCATAGGTCTACTTAATGGTTGCTGGACTGGTCTTGAAGGAGTGGAATCTCTAGATCCTGATCTAGAAGACCCTTTATTCGATCCTGCCTGTTGTGACATCTGCCTGTTAACAGGGCTTAATTCTGACTTCACTGATGGCTTAGCTCCTCTGGGAGAAGTGGTGGCTGTCTGTCCTTCACTTGGGCTTTTGGAAGCTGGAGTCTTAAGGGGTGGGCCTTTTTTAGAAACTGGACTTGTACTTGAAGAGCTATTTCGAACTCCTGGAATGTGGATCATCGTCCTACCTCGAGATATTGAAGGCATGCTTGCTTGAAGGGGCTGTTTCAATTGGCTTGAAACTTCGGAATTAGATCGAACTTTCCCAGTAATCAAACTTTTATAAACTTTTTTTCCTCCTTTGATTCCTTTATTTTCAGATTCCATCTTTTTAGATTCCAATGTACTTTTCTCCCCAGGTTTCAGAATCCGTGGGCCTTTATTACTTGTAAAGGGTTTTTCCTCTTGATCAGGTGTAAGATGAAATGGTGATCCCAGAGAGATTCCAGATTTCAGTGAAAGGATGGAATCTGAATCAGATGAAGCTTGTCTAGATAAACATGCAGCAGCAGCAGCTTGATGCAAACTACTTACTATGGAATTTGCACCTTCCTGAATGGCTTTCCAATCAAAATTTTCTGAATCGGGGGATAAACCATGTTCTGAATCTGGTCTCTGTACATCTTTCAAATCAAGCGTCAAATCTTCTGCTAATATGCCACCCATATTTCTGGGACTATGCTTTTCATTATCACCCTTAAGCCTTGCAGGCTTCTTCTTTTTTGGCATTGCAGAACTTATACATTCTTGCAACAGGTCATCTTCAGAATCAATACTGAGAGAACTGAGAGAACTGTTTCTTGAGAAACAAACAGGGGTATCTTCAACGTGAAATGATTTAGGAGCATAACCTGAACCCTGAGGTTTACTTGGTTCTACCTGTGAGTCAGCAGGCTGGGTCTCTTTGATAGGTTCATTTTCTTTGTTGTTGTTGTTTTCTTGATCAATGTCACTAAGAGAACTTAGAGAAGAATTTCGAGAAAAGCAAACCGGTGTATTTTCAATAGCAAAATTCTGTAATTTTTCATCAGTTGCTGCCCCTCTGTCTGGTATGTCTTTGGATGACTGGGGAAAAGTGGATTGCTTCTGTAGCATGGGTTTATTAGACTGTCCTCGATTCATTGGATGTTTTGTAATAGTTTGTGTCTTATTACCTGATTGTTGGCTAGAGGTTAGTTCTGTGTGACTGGCAACTTTAGCTTCTGATTCCTTATTGTCTTTCCCCTTTCTTAATTCAGCCTTTTCCCTGGAAAGATCGACATCATCATCATCAAAATCTAGAGAACTCAAAGAATCATTTCGTGAAAAGCAGTATGGAGTTCCTTCAATAGGTGTGTAATGATGAGGAGAATCAAAAGTAAAACTTCCTCTAACCCGATCTTCATTGTTTGGTAGCTTATCATTGAAGTCCTTGGAATTATTTTTCAAGTTCTGTTTCTTTGAATCTTTATTATCTGAAAAAGTTCTTTCAGCATTTAAGTTATTTTTTGAATCTGTGTTTTTTTTTACACGTGTCCTATATTCAGTGTTTTGTGGCATAGGTTTTACTGGTGAAGTAGGTTTCTTCTTCTTACTATCTAATTGATTCTTGTTAGTCCCAGATGAAGACATAGATGCTTGTTGGACCTGGTCCATTATCTTTTTCACACGGAAAGGTTTGTGACTTTTTCCTTTGGGCATAGCAGAATTAATGCATTCTGCAAGAATATCACCTTCTTCTGTTTTACTGTCATCCAGTTCAGGTACAGTTAAAGATGATGGTTTTCCTCTTTGAGCCTCATCTGTACTTCTGCCTTCTGTAGGAATGGTGTCTCGTTTTTCAAATTCGCCTGTCTGTGCCCCTGCTCTAACTCCTTCTCCAGCAACTAACTCATTTGGAGGGGATTCTATTGTTAGGTCACTTAGAGATGTAGCTGTGGAAAAGTTTATAGGCGTTCCTTCTACACAATACACCCGTGGCATATCATCTCCTGGTGTAAAACTAACATGCTTTTGTGCTTGTATCCTGTTTTGTGATGGCAGAAGTTTGTACACAGGCAGTTGACTTGGTTTCCTTGCTACAGGTGGAGGTAATTTTGAAGCACCCTGGGCTGGCTTTTTGGCTTTGTGTGCAGATTTTGTTGGCATGGCAGAAATAATACATTCTTCTAGTATTTCAATATCATCATCATCTGAATCATCTAATAGATCTTTTTCAGAATCAGGTTTTTGTGCCTCTTTGTCCTGATTTTCATTTGATTCTTCAGGCTGCTCAGATTCTGTTTCATTTGCATTGTCATTTTCCTGAACTGGAGGCATTATTCTTAATTCCACATCTTTCTGTATGAATGGCTCATCGAGGCTCAGTGCACTCAGGCTAGATGAACAAGAAAACCCATCTGGAGTACTTTCTGTGGCAAAATGTAATAAAGTATCAGCATCTGGAAGAACCTGGACCCTCTGAACTGCAGCATTTACAGCAGCTTGCTTAGGTCCACTTTCTCTCTTTTCAGCATTAGGTACTTTATTTTTAGTTAACTCTTGTTTAGCTTGAACTGTCTGAGGAGGAGGAGGTGGAGGAGGAGGGGTTTTACTTCTGCTTGGTGGCATGGTTTGCCCAGGGCTATCTGGAAGGTCACTGGGGCTTATGATGCCACTTACCATTCCACTGCAGGGTTCACTCTGAACGGAGCTGGCAATTGAACGACTCTCAAAACTATCAAGTGAACTGACAGAAGTACATCTACTAAACATGAGTGGAGTCTCCTGAACGTAGTGCTCTGGTGGACTTTTAGGCGTCTGGGCACCACTTTTTGATGGAGATTTGGCCCCTGAAGAAAGTTCAACAGCTTTGTGCCTGGCTGATTCTGAAGATAAACCAGAAGCTGGGAGTCTGCTGGATTTGGTTCTAATGTGCTGCGACACTGCTGGAACTTCACTCACAGAACCTTCAGTTGATCTAGTTCCACTGTTTTCTTTTATTTCTGCTACCTGTAGCGTATTAGCAGAATCTGTCTCCTGTGTTGTCTGATCACATCCTATTTCATCTTCAGCTGATGACAAAGATGATAATGAACTACACCTTGAAAAACATATTGGGGTATCTTCCACACAGTAGGTCTGTATTGTCTCTTGGTTGATAGAGGGAACTTTGCAAGAGGTGGCTTTTTGAGTCTGACCATTTCTGCTTTGTGCTGAACTTGGATGGAGCTGATTCTGCCTCTTGGGATTAGATGAAGGTGTGGTTGTATTCTCACTGCTTGTAGAGATGTGTTCAGACTTCGTGCTTTGTCCAGAGGAACTCTTTGAGAATGAAAATGATGGTTTCTGTGAGGAAGGAATGTCTGTGGAATATTTTAAACTATAATCAATAGGCTGATCCACATGATGTTTTTCTTCATTATACTTTATGCTATAGTTTGTTGGTCTTTCTTCCTCTTCATGCTGTTCTTCCTCAGAGTAACGTTCACTGTAGTTGGTTGGCTTATCATCTTCATAGTCATCTTCCTGACACAAAGACTGGTTTACATTTTGATTAATTGTATGATTAGAACCCACTCGATTTGTTTCTGAACCATTGGCTCCTCTTGACCTATATGGGGAAACACATTCTTGCTGCCCAAAATGTGGTTGGAACTTGAGGTGTTTATCATCAGTGCTCTCAGTATATACAGGGTAAGTTGTGCTTTGACTCCTTGATTGTCTCTGCTCACTGTGTTTCATTTCATCTTCTATTATATGTTTGGGTCTTGCCCATCTTTCATTCTGGGAAGGACTCTGCCTTCCCGAGTTCAGCTGCTCATCTGAATATTTAAGACTATAATTTATTGGCGTATCTAGTTCTCCATCATTATCATCCATATGATTTGCACTGTGTATTTTATGGGCTAGGTCAGCTGGATATTGACCATAGCTGCAACATTTACTTTCATCATCTTCAGAATAGGATTCAATCGAAGGTTTCATTTGACCTCTTTTACCGTAACCATCACTACTGCTGACACTATTTAAACTATCATTTGAAGATCTCTTATATTCCAATTTGGCATAAGGCATAGAACATGTCCTATTTGAATTTTCTGATTTAGTGAAGTTGTAAGTGTTTGAATGTGTGTGAGTAGTAGAGCTTCTTCTTAGTGCATTCCTCTCATCTGCCCCACAATGTAACTCCGTGGTAGACCCAGAACTTCTATCTTCCTGAGAGGTGTGAATGGCTGCTACCTCTTCCATGACTTTAGCAATCTGAGCTGCAGTGGTGGAAATCTGCAAACCTCGCTTTGAAGAGGTTCCTGGATTTTCTGTTGCTGGGTGGTAGTTGCCTAGGCTAATTCCTCGTTCTCTCTCCAAACTTCTATCTTTTTCAGAACGAGAACTATCTAAACTTCCTCTGGATGATGAGGAGCTGGGCAACACCGTAGTATTTAAATATGGTGAAAGGACAGTCATGTTTCCGGTATTAAAATTGTCTGACCTGTTATCATCATGTCGATTGGTGTCAAAAACATAGTCACCATAAAGACTTTGCTTGTGTCTTTGCTTACTACGATGAGATGTCTTGGGACTTAAATTGTCAATATTGTCAAAAGTTTCTGATAAGTGCTGAGCGTCTAATTCTGCTTCCAGAGCTTTTTGTTTCCTGACATGAAGAGATGGCAAGCTTGAACCAGGAGACATAATATTGGCATCTTTATACTTTGTGGGTCTATTTGCCATGAGATTCCTTAAAGCTGCAGCACTTCCCATAGCAATCATTTTGTGCTTTGAGTGAATGAGGTTCTTGAGCATGCTGACTGCCCCCATGTCCCATAATGCTTCCTGGTCTTTAGGATTTCTTGCTGAGAGATTCCACAAGGTTCCACATGCATTACTGACTATTGTCAAACTGTGAGATTTTAAGTGTTGTAATAAGGTTTGCAGGCAATTGTTTTCTCTTAGAATTTGCCTGAAATAAAAACAAGATTACAAAATTAGGATCAAAATCTGTTTGTAGTAACAATAAATAAAAAGATAGAAAACAAATTTAAATCTAAAGACAACTACTAAAAGAGGCATAATAAAACTGTATCAAAATTGTACTATAAATTCCAAGCATTTCACATTTTGTTTTGGTCTTAGTTCATTTAAGGTTTATTGTTTTAAAGTACTCCTCTGTCAGACTAAAGTAAGTATTATATTCATTTTAATCTATTCTGCATTTCCTATTCTGACCTGATAGCTTTTTAAATTTTTTCTTCAGCAGACACATTTACTTTACATGGTAACAGTTTCCTAGTTTAAGGACTACAAATGTATCACGCTGAAAGGGACTATGGGTAATTCAATCAATCGGTAGCTCTTTCTATAGTTAAGGAGCATGCTGTAAGTGCCTAGATTAGCAAATTCACCTATGTCTCTAGCTTGATTCTGTTATACCGCCACCCCCTTTACAACTGCTCTCTGGCAAACTGCAGGTGTAGTCACTATTTCTAAATAGAAAGTAAAAGAAAGGTTTTCAAAACATTTTTCACTACAAAAACAAGGGCTGGGAATGAACATAATGAACTTTGGGACTTGAAGAGCTACAGCTTACTTAATGCAGGGTAAGCTGAAGTTAATGACAACATATTCCACTTTTGTGGACTTCAAAATTGTTTGGCAGTGGTGTACAATGAGCTTTAACATGGTGGTCTTTCCTCAGCAGCCGAGTAGACACCTGAGTGCTTACTGAATTTAAAAAGTCTTCTTTGCATAGCAGAAAGGGCTATATAGCTTGTAATTAATACATAAAAAACTTAAAGAAAAGATGTTTGTATTCTTTACAGGTTCTTTTACTAAAAGTACCATGTGGTCTTTTTGAAAATGAGAGAGGAAGAATAGTGAATAAAATGAATATGCTGTGGAAGATATTCATATTTTTGTTGGCATACTAGAAAGCCCAAGTTCTAAAAATGTGCACCCTGTATCTGAGGCACTCTCGTAGATATCACAGCTCCAGTAGACTGGAGGAATGGCTGTTCGCTAAACAATAGGCTTACTGATATTAAAACACCATTAGAAAAAAGGAAAACCACTATACTCTCTGGATCATATCCATATGATTTGTTTTTGTGACTTTATCATTTATTCATTTCTAGACATCTGTGTGATACTGTGAACTTTTATTAGAATATACTGAGTAAATTAGAAATTAATAGTTGTCTTTGCACCACAGTAAACGTAGTTTGGCTTAGAACTTGCATAATTACACAAAACCAATGGATCTTTTTGAAAAAATGAATTCTACATGAATTCATTAAAAAGTAATACAAAAACTCTGTATTTACCTGTGGTCCTCATTTGTAGCTATCAAGCTGGACACATTCCGTAATATCCCACCTCCACTTTCAATGATGGCTAAGGTGTTTGTCTGGCTCCGGTAAGTGAGAGTGCCAACCAAAAATGCGAGCGCACCATCTACAGCACATATATCGGCTTTATTCTCAGTGCAATGTGCTGACAAATTCCATAAGGCACTCAGTACGCTTTTCAGGGTTGATTCCTATTAAGAAACAAATTACATGTCATCTAATTAGAGCTGAAACGTGTCTCTCATAACTTCTTTGTTTACTTATGTTGAGTAAATTATTTTTTAAAATCTCCCTCGCTGCTCACACTTTACTGGTAAAGTATTAGGAATTCCCCATTTAGGAAAACTTTCATTAAAATAACAAATGGAACTTAAGTTACTCGTAGCCTCATACAATACACAGAACACAGTATTAAACTAGTAACCTTTCTGAAATACATTCTAAGTATTCAGATGGCATGCACATATCTTACAAGAGCTTATTAGAATACAAACAGAACTGATGTACATGCTGAAAAGATAACATTATGAGGATGACAGAAACTACAAAAAACTTTCTCTATGCTGATATCTAAACCATATCTAAGAAGTGTTATTAAATGAAAAAAGCAAGTTGCAGAGAAGTATGTACCATATTCTGGTTGTATAAAACACATATATATTTACATGTAGTTGATTCAAAAGTAACAATACAACTCATTAAAAATAAAGCACAACTGAAAACCTTCAATTCCTAAAAATCCCAAATAAACACAGTAATTACAAACCCAGGAATCCCTGGTATACAAGACTATAGCAATCTGTCAAATTGTAATGGCTACAGAAACTCTCTGTATATACAATTAAAGATATTTGGTCAAAACCTGCCATGACCCTGATGCCAGTCTTTCCTCTTACTACAAGTCAAACAAGGAATAAACATCCATTATAAATCTACTCTGTGCCTATCACAATTAGAGGTACTCCAGAAGACAGAAACACAGCAAATTGATACCCACTTGAAGGTGTCAACAATTTACTTTGGGGAGAAAGAGATACAAACTACACTTCAGCCCTGGCTGGCGTAGCTCAGTGGATTGAGCTCGGGCTGCGAACCAAAGTGTCGCAGGTTTGATTCCCAGTCAAGGTACATGCCTGGGTTGCAGGCCACGACCCCCAGCAACTGCACATTGATGTTCCTCTCTCTCTCTCTCTTTCTCCCTCCCTCTCTCTCCCTCTTTCTCCCTCCCTTCCCTCTCTGAAAATAAATAAACAAAATCTTAAAACAACAACAACAACAAAACTACACTTCAATAAAACAAAGTGCTCTAAAGGAAAGAAAGTGTCCACCTAAATTTAATCAAATAAAATATGTCATGGGGGAGAGCAGCTTAGTAGAAGACCTGTACACTCAGAGACAGTTTCTCCTCGCAGGGGAATTAGAATGAGGAAAAGCATGGAAGTGGGAATCAGCAAGAGAGAACTGAAGGACAGAGAACAGGGAGAGGAGATCAAAGTCTGTTCTGGGGAGTAGTGAGAATTAAGGTCAGAGAGGTCAAAGAAGGTCTTAAATGTCATAGTAGACATATGAGGTCTAATCCAATAAATAGACACTGTATTCTCTTCATCAGGACATTAAATGAAACAATCTAGGAACAGGTTTAGATACTATTTATGAGGAAGCAGAGGAGAACTGCTTTCACCAATCAAGATTGGAGAAGGATTAAGAGCTCAATTTTATGCTTGATATAATAGCGGGACATTCAAAGTATCCTGAGAATGGGGTGGGTAGCAAGAGTTTAGAGGAGTTTGAGCTTTTATTCTGTAACTGGCACAGAGGGTGAGTTGAAGGTAGGGAAATAGAAGTTGCTCTCTACAAGACTACCAGTACAGGGACCAGAGTTTTGTTTCAAAGAAACTTTACAGCTAGATTAAGGGAAATGAAGAAATGGCTAGAGGCTGAGAGTGCAGGTGGTAAAAACAAAGGGAGGATCTTCAACAAGGTGTGTCATCAAAAAGTAACAAATATAGGTGTAGGCAGACAATAAAAACCCAAGTTAATGTATAAATCTAGATTCTGTTAGAAGGAAAATTAAGAGGCACCAAAGAAAGTATACCAGTTAAGAAATGGAGCAAGTGACTTGTTCAGGGTCTGGGTTGTTACACTGCAGGAATTAAAAGTAACAGTGATTTTTTTTTAAGTTTCCAAAATATTGGGCTTCCTGTAGGTAGTTGTGACATAAAAGGCTTTCTTCTCTATCCATCAGAGAAGATATAAAGGACAATAGTAAGGGGCTAACATCTTTGAGTGAACAGCAACACTTGGCACACCGACTGCAGGTGAAGGAAAGGTTCTGCTGTGCAGAAGAGGAAGAGCCAGCTGAATGAAGTTAAAACGACACAGTGTATGAGGACTAAGGCAGGTAGTGCTGATTCTCTTGGTCACTAGTAGTAAATGAAGTTGAGGAAAAGATGAAGAATTGAGAAAGGGAATGTTGATGACTATTGCACTGAATGTAGAAAAAGAGGGAACAAATCAATTTTAATACTGATAACCAGAAGCAGGCCCAAACCAGAACTGGGTATATACATTTCTAAATGCTAGTATTTTCCAAGACTGGACTCGCATTTGAAAATTATATATGAATTTAGGGAGAAATGATCTTTAAAATACTACTCTTCCTTTATAAGAACAGAGTATGTCTTTCCATTTACTATGGTCTTCTTTTATGTTCCCTGGTAGGATGTATTTTTTAATGTAGCTTTCTTGGGTTGTAGCAATTAGAATGCATGTAAATCTCTAAGGTTCTTTAAAGATAATAAAGTCCTGAGTGATTCAGCAGCAGTACAAGTTCCCATAATATATACAAACCATTAAACCTTTCTGAAAATATGCAGGTTTGATTCGATTAGGAGCCTTAAAGTGTGTACAGTACTAATTTCTTTGTACAACTTTACTGAGGTATAACTGGAGAACAATAAATATCAAGTGTGCAATCTGATCACCTTTGATGTACATGTATACCATGAAACCATCACCAATCAAGACAACAAACATATATTTCATCCCCCAGACTTTTTTGGCAAAAGAAGTATTATAATTTTCTGTTTGCAGGTGACATGATCTTGTATATGATGAACTCTAAAGGCTCACCAAAGCATTGTTAGAATAAACACATTCAGCAAAGTTGCAACATACAAAAATCAGTTGTGTTTTTATATACTAACAATGAATTATCTGAAAGAGAAATAAAGAAAAACAATCCAATTTATGATAGGATCAAAAGCAATTAAATACTTAGAAATAAATTTAACCAAGAAGGTAAAAAATCTGTATACTGAAACCTACAAGACTTTGTGATAAAAGAAGTTGAAGGAGACACAATAGAAAGATATCTTGTGTTTATGGATCACAAGAATTAGTATTGCAAAAGTGCTCACACAATCTGAAGTCATCTACAAAATGAATGTAATCCTATAAAGATTCCAATGACATTTACAAAATATATGCATTTATTGATTCCTGAGAAAGAGAGGAAGAGAGAGAAAAAGGAATGGAAACATATATTGGTTTGCTTTCCACACGTGCGCTGACCAGGGACCAAACTTGCAACACAGGTATGTGTCATTCCCCCAGATTTCCTAGTAACTCCTTGTGATCCTCCCTCAACCTCAGGCAACTACTCATATGTTTTCTGTCTTTATAGTTTATTGCATGAATAGTTCATTCTTTTTATAGCCTAATAGTATTCCATTTTGGACATTCCATAATTGGTTTACCTATTTACCTGTTGATGGACATTAGAATTACTTCTAGTTTTTGGCTACCACAAATAATATTTCTGTGACCATTTGTGTGTAAGTCTTTGTGTGAATGTAAATTTTTGCTCCTCTTGGGTAAATATTTAAGGAGTAAAATGTCTATGTTGTAAGGTAGGTGTATGTTTAACTTTTTAAAACACTGACAAATGTTCTCTAAAGTGGTTATACCATTTTACATTCCCATCAGCAGTGCCTGAAAATTCCAGCTGTTTGACATCCTTGACAATACTCGGTCAATGTTTAAATTTTAACTAATATACCATGTATAATGGCATCTCATTATGGTTTTAATTCACTTTTTTTCTGGTGACTAATGCTGTTGAGTATATTTTCAAGTGCTTACTGGCCATTCATATCTTCTTTTCGGTAGTACTGGTGCAAGTATTCTGCCAGTTCAGTAGTGTTTTAAAGCTATCATTATGCAGATCTTAAGTATATTTGAGGATTTTATTTATTTTATTTTTAGAGGGAAGGGAAGGAGAAAGAGAGGGAGAGAAACACCAGTGTGTGGCTGCCTCTCATGCGCCCCCTGCTGTGGACTTGGCCCATAACCCAGGCATGTGCCCTGACTGGGAATCAAACCAGCGACCCTTTGGTTCATAGGCCAGCTCTCAATTCACTGAGCCACACCAGCCAGGGCTATATTTGAATACAGCATATTATCTTTATATCAGTTATTTAGTTAAATATATTTCTTACTTCTAATAATTTCCAGTTGATTTTACTGGGTTTTCCAGGTATAAAAGAATTTAGCAAAATACATAAATAAACAAATAAAAAATAAAAATTTTTGCTTTCTTTGAAAAGAAAATTTTAAAGAAAAAAATGTAGACAGTAGTTCTAGGAGGACTGGTTGGGTAAAAGGAAGCCTGCAATGGCAAAGACTTGAGTACTCCTTCCTAAATTTTAAGTTTAATTAAAAAAAAAAAAGCTTAGTTTCTGAAATAGATACCCACCTAGACATACTTCTTCTTATAAACAAATGATTATTTAGAGATTGCTAGCTCTTGAGTCTGACCACCTCTTGATAAGCTGACCATGACTTCAGGTCAGCTTGAGGACTTCAGGGGGTTCAGATCTTAAGAGCATAGAGGTAACACTTATACCAGCAATTCTCAACTGGGGGTGACTTGGTCCCTCCTCCCTTCTGGGGGACATTGGTAATCTCTGGAGACATTTTTGACTGTCATGACTGAGGGGAAGGTGTACTGACATCTAGTGGGCAGAGACTAGGAAGGCTGCTAAACATCCCACAAAACACAGGTCAGTTCCCCCAAAGAATTATCTGGGCCAAGGTGTCAATAGTGCCGGATCTGAGAAACCCTGACTTACACTAGGCCACAGTATCTTCTTTTCCATCTGAATACTTTAGGAGTCTGGAGTAGTCTAGACTAAGGATTGGTGAAATAAACAGGTCAGGAATTAGGGACTCTCAATGATGGGAGAGTGACAAAAAAGTATTCCAAGGTGAAATCACATTACAGTACTAAATGTTTTCAAAGGTACCTTTTTAACTTCCAAAGCACACTCCATCAATGCTTTCACACTTCCAACTTCGCGCAATGTCTTTTTACTATTTACATCTGCTCTCCAAGACAAATTCCTCAAAACACTTGCAATAACCTGAAAATGAATTCAATTTTAGAACTTTTGTATATAAAATAATTTATACTAGTTGTATTTTTTTTAATACTAGAAAGAAGAGTAGAAATCTATTAAGAAATTCCTCTTAAATCCTAATATGGTTCCCAAAGGAATTCCTACCATATAGTTATTATCCTTTATTCTGGTGTTATTATAATTGTAATTTAAACATGAAATACTAAACACTGAGTCACAGCTTAAATTAATCCAAATCAGGAAAGTCAGAAGCTGATATCCTAGAAGAACATTTGAAATTCTAAGCAGTACCTGCTGTAAGTCCTCACTCTCTGACTTCAGTTGGGCGACCAGTGCTCTCATGCAGCCTTTCATGGAGCAGAGTGTGGCCTGCAAAAATCAGATATGGAACAGAGGGTCATTACAAGGCCACCTGGAGCTGGGCTTTATTTTTGACTACTAAACTTCAAATACAGTTTTAACTGACCCATTTTAATTAAAGCTAATATTTTACTCACAAAAATTTAGAATCAGATTACACAAATGAAGGACAAACAGCCTCCTAATTTTTTGCTATATCTGTTCTTCTTTTGGCAAATTGGAAAACTAAAGTGAAAAAATGATAAGAAATGAGAAGCAAAGGGTTTTAAAGTTAGGTCTCTTATTTGGATACAACCAATATGCATGTAACATTTGCATTGGTCATCAGGATTTTCAGATTTTTCCTCATTCCTAGGAACAGTGTTTTATTTTTTAAAAAGATTGTATTTATTTACTTTTAGAGAGAGGGGAAGGGAGGGAGAAAGAAAGGAAAAGAAATATCTATTGGTTGCCTCTCGCATGCCCCTAACTGGGGAGCTGACCCACAACTCAGGCATGTGCCCTGGCCGAGAATCAAACTGGTGACCTTCGGTTCACAGGCCAGGACTCAATCCACTCACTGAGGCTCCAGCCAGGGCTAGGAACAGTGTTTTAAATATGATTAAATATTCACTATTGTGTTCTATCTTTTGCTTTTGTTTAATCATAAGACAACCAAATGAATAAGGATATACAGTGGGGTGTGAAGTACAGGTTTTTATTAGTCAGTGTTTAATAGGAGAGTGACAAAAAGAAAATCAGTGAAAAGCAGGTTGTATGAAAGTAAGCTAACTCATACCTGAGATGTCTTAAGAAGTGGATCTTATAAAACATACCTTGTTTGCTACATCTCCAAAAGTCAAGTTTGTCAAAGCCATTCCAGCATATCGTCTTAATGTAATACTGTAGTGGTCATTAGTAAGCCCATACATTTCACAGTCCACTTGCAATAATTCTGCAATGGCCTGTAGTCCCCCTAATTTAAAAAGGGCAAGAGGAAAAAGACAACAATCTAAAATAAAACTAACTGGTACCAAGTTTATAATTTAAATATTAGAAAAAAACCCTCAAGAATGAGAATATATAGTTTAAATTTGTCTTTAGAATTACAAGCTATAAATGCTGTTATAAAGAACTTTAGTCTAATACATTTATAAAGTACAACTGACAACTATTCCATTTTCTGCCAGTTTCTTGACCCTCCAGCCCTTGCCCTACCAAGTGAAATAAGCATTGCACTCTATTTACTATACATACACTGTATCTTGTCAATGATGAAAAAGGCTATTTTTAAACACTAGGTCTTCCTGAATATAAGCAGGAAAAGGTAACTTATTTTATTATTAGGACTTTATACTCTTCATTGTTGCACACTGTGGCCTAATTACTTCAATGTTTTTTAACCTGCTGAATAGTTATCCTTAGAAATATTGAAAGTTATAAATGAAACTACATAAAGCAAAGCTTATTTTTTTAAATAAAAAAGAACTGCCTGTTCAATGTGCTACTATAAAGCTACTTACATTTATTAAAAAAAATTCTTACTTTTTTTTTGATACTCAGAGGTGTCAAATACCCACTATACTAGGATGTAGTATTTTCCTTCCCCTTGATCCCCACAACTGGGTGTGCTCAACAGTGCCCACAGTGGTCAACACTAGGACAGCAAGGAGAATGATGAGAAAGGAAAGGGAAAGACATAGAGGAAGGGGTAGTAGAAAAACAAACAAGAGGCAAAGCAAAATGGTGAGGCAGTGAACAAAAATAAAAATAAAAATGTAAATGGAGGCTATTCAAAATATTCTTCACCATCAATATTAATCATTGTGGGAATGAGAATATTGTTTTGTCACAGAGAAGTGGCTTAGACAAAAAAAAAGAGGATAAATATAAACAGACAATCTTGGATACTGTAAGTCTAAATGGTCAGTTCATTAATCTGAGAGAACCTGTACATTTAATATTTTTTCAAATAATCTAGAAGGGTCAGTATGTAGAGGAATCTGCAAGTTTGCAAAATAGGCAAAGTTCTATCTTAGGTCAAGAATTCTGGGCCAGGGCATTTAAGTGTAGAAAGATTCACATAAATCTTTATGATTAGCAGAAATGAGAGATGACTTTAACTGTAGATAAGTGAAAATTAATTTGGTTAAAGAAAATCCAAATTATATTTAGGATGATTTTCTTCCAATTACTCATAGTGATTGAAAATTTATAGCAGTGAACTCAAAATACACTGACTGTCTTTATGGACCTTAAAGATTAGTGCAAAGATAGTCACTGAACAACTAATTAAAGTGTGTTGGACTGTGTAAGTTCAGGGCAAGATAATAGGTGGTCTTAACCTAAACTGGAGGGGATCAAGAAAAAGGTTGAGGAAATAATGTTTAAGTTGAGACTTAAATGGAGTATCCAAAAAGGTGGGGCAAGAATCATGAAGCATTTTAGGCAGATAAAATAGCATGTGCAAGGTCCGTGGGCCTGAAATATATAGCATAAAGACTGTAAGATGAGGCTACAAAAATGGCTAGAGGCCGATCATGCAAGACTTTATGTGCCACACTAAGGACTTCAGGCACAGGAAGGAATAATTTTACGTGTGCTCTATCTAAGTAGATTCTCAGGGCTGCAGGGTGCAGAATGGATTATGACGGAAGTTGTAAGACAAGTAAGACAAAGTTGCAGAATGGAAGACAGGATGGTGGCTTAAACTGGGGATGAAAATAAGAGCAGTGATTTGAGATATATGAGTATTTAAGATGCAAAATTAAAGCACTCAGTTACTAGATGTAGGAGATAAAGATAAGGTCATGGATGTCTTTGAAGATTCTGGTCTGAGCAACTGTCTTGACTGGAATGTCATTTTCTGAGAAAAGATCCCCCACCCTCCTGTGGGGCAGAGACAGAGAGATCTGGGGATGGATGAGATAAAAATTTCAGTTGTGGCAGCTCAATTAGAAATGTCTACACAACCATCCAAGTAAAGGTGCCAGATGAACACTTTGATAATGTATTTAAAACTCAGGAGACAGAACTTGGATTAAGATGTAAATTTAAAAAACACTGTAACTGAAGCCATGGAGTGGAGGATACTACTTAGGGAGAGAGGAAAAGAGCCTAGGACAGAGCTTTGAGAAATTTGACCAAGCGCTACTTGGATAAAGGAGAGAGTGCCAGTAAAGCACTTGGAGTTTTGACCCAGGACACTGACTTGAAGACAGTGCTGGTGCTAATGAGATCACCAAATTGTTGAGCATTACAAAGCAGACTACGAATAGCAAAACAAAACATGCTACATTTTGTGCCTACATAAAATCCTGCCTGGTGTAGTGGTATCTATAATAGATTCCAAGGAGGCACTAACTGAGCATTCTTTGATGGAGAAACTAAAAATCTTAGAATTTGATTCTGAAAAAAAATTAAAGAATATAGCCAATGGCCAATGTGAACAAAATCATGATGAATGTGGTTAATGAAAAAAAGGATATTTAATAGAATTTAGGATATCAGATATAGGAGAGAGTCCTTTGTTTTCAGGCAAATAAAAATATGATAAAAATTCATTATTACTAGCATAAAAACAGGTTGCCCTGAGAAAAAATTATAATATTTCCAAGTAATGCAAATATAACGAGTATGTTCTTAGCGCGTATGTTAGAAAACAGGGATCCAGATGGAGCAAATGCCACCCAAAATGGTATCTCAAAATGTTACAGATAGTAGAGAACCAAGAGCTTCAGGTGACATTCAACAGCATCCTTAATTAAAAAAAAATAGAAAGATGACATAATTTTAAGAGTGTGTGTGTGTGTGTAAACTTGATTTAGCATGACATGCCTCATTGTAAAATAAATATTAGGGGTTCAACATAAATAGTCTATAGCTTGGTATTTCACAGAATTTTCTGATCACAAGAATTACCTAAGCCACTTATTAATTATTAGAAAATATTATTTCTAGATTCCCCCTCTGAAGATTCTGTTTTACTAAGCCTGCTTGCTACAAGGCCAGAGAACCTATATGGTTTGACAAGTACTTCTAGTGATCATTATGACCTGGTTTTGGAAACATTAATGCAAATGAGTTCCTCGAAAGTAGGACTATGTCTTAATCTTTTCTTATATCTGGTGCCTAGCAAATTTTCTGGGACAGAACTAAGAAATAATAAATTAATAAATACACCACTAATATAGTCTAACACTTGCAGTACTAATAGGAGCAAACTTATATGACCCTGATAGCTGTAGAATCTTCTTGTATGGGTGAGTGACAATCCCAGCTGACTGGGCTTAGGAATTGCCCCTCACCTATTTGGGACTTTTTTCCTCCTTACCCCTCACAGTCAGGTACTTTGTGCTATCTCTCTATTTCTCCACAGTCCACAAACCTTGATCCTTCTTTTGTTCCAGTGCAAATTCGGAGGCTAGGAATGAGAAGAAGGTAATCCTCTGTGGCTATGTCCCCGGCAGTCACACCCCAGAGGCCCCATCCTGCTCCTCACCTGAAAGCCCCTGCCCTAGCTCCTGTGATGAAATGCCCCGGGTAGCCTTCCTACCTGAGGAAGGAAGAGGAACAAATACTGAGTCTGCGTTTTACTTTGAAATTCAGATGATTAATGTGTCAGTCCTAGTCTACAGCCCATTGGAACACAGGGACATTTATAGAAAAATCTGCATTAGCTTAAAATTGAATTAATTTTCCTATTTATTCATTATTCTTATCCCCTTCCCATTATTACTAGTATTAAAAAATGCCACCCAAACATAACAGTTTCACAAATGTTGCGGTTGTATTGAGGAAAGGAGAACTCCTAAGATTACAGTCGGTTCCGCAGGAGGCCGAGGGAGGTGGTGGGGGAAGCAAAGAGAATCAGGTGGGCCAACTGCGAGGGCCTGTGGGAAGAAAAGCACAGGTGGAGGGCAGGGCTGGAATCAGAAGGACACAGCCTCCTAAAGGAATGACTCTGAAGGAGACAACACTCATTTTGGCTGTTCAGGTTCTCTGCTTAAGTCTCATGACTTTGTCACTTTTAAGATATATGATGAATGATGATGAGGGTGACAGTAAAACGAAGTGGAAGCTGGAATGCAACATAACGTAACAGCACAAAAAGCCATGGCACAGCTACACTACGTTGGGGACTCAGTACGGTCTTGCTTGTGGCACCACTAGAGATATCCAGTTCACATGAGATGGCTCAGCATGATGCAATTTATAAATACCACATGTGCACAATGAACCTAGAAATCAAAGAAAGACCATTACATGAAAAATGGGGTGCACAATGCAGGTTATATAAGGAGGAGAGTGTGTGATAATACATACTTAGAAGAGTAATCCTTCCAAAATTAATCGGATGTTTCTGATTTAAATTAGAGCATAATGCTTTTCCACAGTAACCAGTTTTAAAGATACCATGGTGTTTATCATGAAAATCTAGTAAAGTACTGATCACCACAAAGGTAAATGAGATTCTTGATAACAAGTCCTTCTGGTGGCCATAAGAAGTGACTGAGTCAGAACAATGAAGTAGCTCCACGTTTCAAAATAATTCAAACTACCCTCCCTGTCAACTGTCACACAGGGTCTACCTTGGCAATAGGAGCAAGGAGTGGCCCATTAGTAATTTTCCCAATCTATGCCTGAGATCTTGAAAATCCAAGTTAGTTTAGGGTAGCAGTTTCTGTTATCTAGAAACTTCTCTTTTCTGGAAACCAGATTATAATTATATATATATATATGCTACAAGGAGGAAGCAGCTGGTAATAGAAGTTAGTGGCCATAAATTCCATTTCCACAGTGAAGAAACCTTTAGTATTCTTCTATGCCGTTAAGAAACATTTTTGTCTTACCAAGTTCATTCATTGCATGTCTATGTTCTTCATCAAATGAAAGTTTCATTAGAACACACACAGCAGGACAGATCTGATGTTCAACAGGAGCTGGCACTGAAAAATAAAATTGACATAAACCATAATGCTTTGTTTTCTCAAAAGCAATGATGTTTACTATACTTAAAGAATACGTAGAGCTCACCAACATATCCCTAATGTATAGTTCAATGGATCAACAAATATTTGCTGAACAGATAAATAAGTACTAGAGCAAGAATGAGTAAAGGCCTTTGCTTGGTTCCATTAAAATGTTTACCACTCATCTGCCCTTAACCAAGTCTTTTAGAATAAGTCCTTTGCAAGTTTATGCTACAACTCAAATAATTTAAAGTTACGTTTACTATATGAAAAACAAAAATATTTTGGTATAAAACTGTTTAATTCTATTTATAATTGCTGTTTAAACTACTGTCATGAGTGTGGGTTAGAAGCACATTGCTGCATACAAATGTAGTAGAGAAATCTAGTACAAACCTAGTAAAGTTTACTTCTTATATTGACAGATACTAGACAGTAAACAAAAATTTAAAGAAAAGGCATCTGAGAAAATGTACCTCCACATTTAACACTATGCACAAGTTTCAAAACTTCTCTGAAATAAAATTTAAAAAGCAAGCATTTTTCAGAAGTAATATTCTATTTATTCTATTTAACTTTTTTTGAGAAGAGGTTATCAATAGCCAAAGAAAACAATCTAGAAATCTCCCAGTAAAGCATCTTAACAAATATAAAGGACTGTTTCTTCTGTTTTTTTTTTAGGGGAGGGGGAAAGAGAGAAAGAGTGAGGGAGAGAGGTGGGGGAGAGAGAGAGAGAGAGAGAGAGAGAGAGAGAGAGAGAGAGAGAGAGAGAGAGAAACACCTATTGGTTGCTTCCCATATCCCCCCATTGGGAGTCGAACCTGTAACCTGGATGTGTATCTTGATTGGGGATCAAACACACAACCTTTTGGGTATACAGGATGATGCTGTAACCAACTGAGCCACCTGGCCAGGGGTGTTTTCTTATTCTTGAGATGTTTTAGATTTTAAATTAATTCATCTTTGTAACTAAGCTAAAAAAAAGTCTCCTAAAGCTTCATAGGTCATGTTCTCACCACCATTCATTCCCCTCTGGCTTTTCAAATCCATAGGTTGATACACCCTCCTTTTCTGTGTGTGTGTGTGTGTGTGTGTGTGTGTGTTCGTATCAGGCGAAAGGAAGGTCTTACCTTATATACTTACTGCTTTTGGTTCTTGCTACAGGAATGTAGTAAGTTATGTCCCAGGGGTCTCAACTCCCATGTTCCCTCCTCCTGAGGGAGAGGGGTTGGTGGCCAAGAGTCTCTCCCTGAGCAAAGAGCTGAGCGGCTGATCACCCCCAGCAATAAGGACCCAACACCTGCAGCAGGATGGTGCAGTAGGAAGGGCCCTGAGCTGCGAACAGGAGACCTGGCTTCTGTTCCTGGCCACTTACTAGCTGTGAGGCCACAGGTAAATCTTTTAGCCTTTCTGAGCCTCAGTTTCTTCATCTGTAAAACCGAAATGATAATACCTTCCCTTCCTACTTCACATGGTTGTTGTGAGGATCAAATAACAACAGATTAACCGCTCTGCATCCACTGAGTAGAGTGATATGCAAATGTAGAAGATATTGGCTTGGTCACTAATAGCTGAAAAAACTTACATAAAGTTACTTTCCTAAACTTTATCTATAAAATAAAAGAGACAGGCAACATAATTGCTCAAATCTTTTCTAGATCTACTATGCTATGACTCTGTATGTCTCTCTTGATTTCCTGTTCTTTTTTTTGGCTGCATAGCAGTGCATATAACATTTTCCTTTGCTAAATTTTTCTTAATTTTAGACTTTAAAATAGACTTAAGCTTTAAAGTATGTTAGTGTAGATGGCTAATATGCATTTCTCTTTCCTATTCATAAAGACAACATACTAACTAAAAAAAAAATTTTTTTAAACTTTTACATTTGTTTTGTAACATGCACTATGATGTACACTATAGGGAACATACTTGGATTTTTGTCCTGGTCCATGCCTTGTTCGTGGGCTTCCTGCCACTCCCAACAGGTTTCACAGTAAGCTCGTATCTGTTCCAAAAGATGAAGGACTCGGATTTCACGCCTGCCTCTCTTGTCATCAGGCTGTGAGTGAATGATGTTGTGGAGTGCTGCACTGGCCCTGGCCCGAGCCTCTTTACTGCCCCGGGAATTTCCCAACAACACAGAGTCTTTGTCATTGCCATGTAAAAGCTGGATGAGGAGAGGAAGACATCCAGACTGTCGCATGGATATACAGCTGTCTTGGGAGCTAGACATAGCTAGCAAAGTTCGTGACATATCATCCTTATCATGAGTACCAAGCATTGACAACAATGAATACACCATTTCCACCTGTGGGCCAAATGAGTTTAGAAACAAAATTATGACTTTAATATCCAAAAGCCAACACCAATGAAGTGATGAATGGGATATTTATCGTAACTCATTAAAAAAAAGCAAAAGAAAAAATCTTTTCAGGATGAAGTAATGAATGTTATTTCAAAATCTATATAAAATCATTACCAATTTGTTTATATGAGTAAATAACAATAGAGGTAGTATACGGTGCTGAAAGAGCAAGTTGCTTCTTACACACTTAAATTGCTGTTTATCTGGATCCCTGATTATAATGAATGAAAATCAACTAATTTCACTAATACACAGTAAGGAATGTGATCTATCTAAATTCTCTGCACAATTACAAATTTTCACTTCTTTAAGTCTACAGCTATAATGAATAAATATAAAATATTTTTTAAACAATCACTATTCACTAAGTACTAGTTCTCAGCAATCACTAACCCTCACCAGATTATAACAATATTGTTAAAATTATAAGATTTCTCCCTTACACATGTCAAAAAAATACTTTGCCCTAAGAAGAAGAATGCCATGGTCACATACAGAGTACAAGGCCAGGATTCTTATACAGTATTTTTTAAAGCATACTCCTAAGCATCAATTACTCTCTGACAATAAATTCTAAGGATTAGAAGCAGATTAGAAACAGGAAACAGTACTCTGTTATCTTGGACTGTGGTCAACTTCATTTTAAAGCTCGAGGTTAACACAAAAAAGTAGAGGCTATTATATAAAGAATGTGTCATGCCTATAAATCAGTGGTTCTTAACTACTGGCAATACCTTGGAGACATTTTCTGTTTCCTCAACAGTAGGAGGAAGTGCTATGGGTGTCTAATGGGTACAGATCATAGATGCTGCTAAACATACTATAATGCAACAAAGAGTTATCCAGCCAATAGTGCTCAGGTGGAGAAACTCTAAATGTGTAAACACACACACACTTAGATGTAATTGTGATAGGAAGGCGGTGTGGAACTGTGGATAGGCCTTTGAATTTGGGCTCCACCACTTAGATGAGTGAACTGTCTGACACTACCAGGTTATCGGATTTCTCTTAGCCCATTTCCTCAGTTGCAACATGGAGGAACTTACCTAAGAGGGTTTTCTCTGTAAAGATTAAATGACGTAATATATATATAGGGGAGTAGCTGTCATTCAAAAATGTAGGAAGGTCTTAATATTATGCAAAAATTACTTCAAAAAGGAAAAGGTATTCCAGCTGTCAGTCTTCACACAACAGTCTTCACACATCTTTTACTATAAAGAAAACCTCTAATATTCTTTACTTATTGAAATCTCTAATCTCTTTACTTATTGATGTTGGACAGAGCTGTGGTTGAATTCCGATTTAGTTACGCAACAGCTGCCTAAATCTGTTTTTAAAATCAGTTTTCTTATTTAAAAAAGACAAACAAGAATAACTCATAGGGGCTTTGAGAAGATCAGAGATAACATACATAAAACTCCTAGCATAGTTACTAGGACTCCAGAGGTCCCAAGTAGTAGCTCTTGTGAGTTATTGGAAGAATTAAGTCTTATATTAACAATATCATGGACTATTCTAAAATTCACTTCTTAAACCAGCATTAGTTATTTCAGTAATGTTTTTCCTAAAAGCTATTATATTATTAAAATAAAGGACATATAGAGTATATAATAAAAACAACTAATTACTTAGATTTAATGAAAAATATGTTGTTTAGTAATATTAGTATTCATTCTTTGTCAATACAATATTAAAATCTCTGTCTTTAAAACAATAGTAAAATAATTATTTTCTTCTTAAACATACTATTCCCAAGTCCTAAGATATTTGCTACCATCTGAGAGACCCTAAAAAAGCTGACTTATCAGCACTGGATAACATTCAACTTCAATGATTTTCCCATCTACTTAAATAAATACTTATTAAACACTTGTTATATGCAGGCCCTGTGCTAAAGGCAGCAAAAACAACATGTAAAAAACAGCCCCTGTTTTCCCAAACTGTTTCATGCAAGCTGTAGTGATTCAAAGCAGGGAGAGAGGCCACACAGGGAAGCAGGAGGACCACGCACATTGGAAAATGTTTTATAAAGAAGTGAAGCCTGAGAAGAGTTCTGAAGGGTGGCTACAGCTTTGACAGCTGTGTTGAGGTGGGGTAGAAAGTGGAGTGTGTGTCACTGCAGGCAAGGCAAGGAGGCAGAAAGTCACAGGGAGAGCTCGGGAAGCAGCAAGTAAGCCAGTGAGGCTGGAGCTTTGGATACTTACGGAGAAGTGGACATGACTGAAAAAAAATAAAAACTAACAAACAAAACAAAACCAAAAACCAACTAGCTAATTTGGCACTTTTTATAATCCTTATTTTCCCTTTGTTTGCACTACTTTGTATAAAAAGATGTCACTTCTTTAAGAGACTACGATGATGAAATCAGAATTCTCCTCTATGTAAAAGATGAAGGATGGTTTTAGCAACATATCTAATGAATACTAGAAGTATTCATAGTATTAGTGACCCGATTTGTAATCTTCTGTTACCTTGGTTCCCAGATGACTTGTCAGCCTTCGAGGAGCAGAGTGTGTGCTACTAGAACTCAAAACACTGGCTGTTTCATGATCCATTCGTGTAGCTGAACCCTAGAAATTAAGAAATTATAGATAGTGTGATTGAGATTGTAGATAAACACAGCTAACTTCATGTTTAGGTACTCTTGAGGGGAGACAGCTAAATATACCATTAAAAATGTGAACATTAACTTCTCAAAATGAATGTTTGTACTTATAAATTTATTAAGTAAATTTTAGAGAAAAGCTGAAGAAAATGAGATTTGTTGCAAAAGACAGTTAAACCACACTATGGAAGTAACTAAACACTGAAGAAATTCTAAGAGTAATATTTTTTCACAGATCCAAAGACATGCAACCACATTCAGTTAAATATAAATTGATTGACAGAAAGCTCCATTTTGATTGATGAAATGCTCCAAATTACCACAAAATTGACTGAATCTGGTGTAGTCCAAGCTCTCTGGGAGTTTATGGTACAGAGAGGACTGCTTGAAACTTCCATTTGAGGAAGACATGAAAAAAAAATAATTGGAGTATGATATAATGAGCACTATCATATAAAAACATATAAAATACTAAAGGAAAACAAAGAAACAATGAGCTGCTTAGAAGCTATTAAAGGCTGCATAAAATGTTACATTTAAGACAGGAGACAGACCTTGAATTTTGGGATAAGAAACTGACAAAAGAGCCTGTGTAAAGGTTTAAATGTGAAAGCATGGAGTATTCCAGCTTATTGTGAACAGAACACAAGGTGTGTGGTGGGAGATACAGATTGGATTAAACTATTAAGTATCTCATGTGTCATTTTAAAGGTGCTGCTTTCAAGATGTGGATGTTAAGAGAGTCACTAGACTTTAGACTAGGCAAGGGAATGGCATAACCAGAATCATGTCTCAAAAAGAGCATGGACAGGATGAAGAGATCGCAGATGAGAAATTAGTAAGTGGGTACTTGTAATAGTTGAGTGGTTCTGAGGGCCCAAAGTCAGGAAGTTAGAATAGGGAAATGGGGATGCCCTATATTTAGGGGATAAAAACCGTTGGTTTGCTAACTACTTTGGATGTGAGTAAAGAGATGTTTGGAGTCAAGGTCAATTTGACCTTGTGCCGAGCTTGGCTACATGGGTAGATAATAGCGCCATTAATAAATACATGAAACCCAGGAAGAGATGATGACTTTCTGTGTGGGGACTGAGCTTGCCTTTGATTATAGTGACATCCAGTAAGAATGCTTATTGGGCACCTGAAAACACAGGATGCAACTCTGGACAGGCATTCATTAATAATTAAGAATAACAATTATAAAAACAGTGTTCAATTAGAAAGTGATATTGGCAGTTATTCTGCTGTAGTTCTCAACTTTCCAAAAGAAAAAACTAGAACATAACCTTTTGAGGGTAGAAACCTCAGTCTGTTCACTGTATTCTTGGTATGAAGGGTAGGTAGTCTTAGGTTCCTAGTAGGTACCCACAAAATATTTGTCAAATTATGACTGAATGAAGAGCTAGTAGTAAAATCCATAAGAACAGGGAGGGAAACCACTGCTGGTTCTAATTGTCTTTCAGACATAGATGCTAATTGGAGCAGGGAGGTTAGCAAAAAGGAAACAGGGAATAATAGGTTTTGAGGATTGGAAGCTGGTTATTTCCTGGAGGGTACAAAGGGCTAGAATGAATCAATATCTCTGAATGTACCCCATTTCCCTAAATTTTGGAATCAACTGATCTTGTGATTTCTTTTTGTACACTAAGTTCACTTGACATGTTAAAAACTTCCCTGTGGGCTAACCACCTTTACTGTTCACCTGCTAAATTCCACTGGTAGACAACACAGAAATTTGCTAACAAGCATTCCTCAGTGATTAGTCAGCATTCTAACAGTGTGCAACAATTAAATCCTCATACAGAGATTTCTGTATTTGTTATAAAAAGTCCTTAAATAGGTAATTGTATAAAGCTCATTTTTAAAAGGACAGCTTAGAACTTCCATAAAGGTCATATTATAGGCCAAAGTTAGTGTTTTCTGACTAGTCTACAAAAAGCATATTTAAGACCATCATTCACAGTAACATTTTTAAAAGAGAAAATTACATTTGTAAATTTAATTGTAAATGTAAATTCATTTAATTGTACCTTTAAAATAGGTACATCTTATTGTATGTTAATCTTTCCTCAATGAAGTTGATTTTTAAAGTGCCAACCTGAGCCCTGACTGTTGTGGCTCAGTGGGTTAAGCATTGTCCTGAAAACCAAAAGGTTGCAGGTTTCATTCCTAGTCAGGGCACATGTCTGGGTTTTGGGCCAGGACCCTGGTTGCAGTAGTATGAGGCAGCTGATTTTCTCTCTACATTGGTTTCTCTCCCTCTCTTTCTTCCTCCCTCCCCCTTGCTCTAAAATTAAAATCTAAAAACAAAAAAAGTGCCAACTTGAGTTTTTTTTTAAGATTTTATTTATTTATTTTTAGAGAGGGAAGGGGGGGAGAAAGAGGGAGAGAGAGAGAGAGAAACATCAATGTGTGGTTGCTGGGGGCCGTGGCCTGCAACCCAGGCATGTGCCCTGACTGGGAATCGAACCTGTGATGCTTTGGAGAGGTGTTTTTTATGGCTCTTCACATAAAAGCATGAAGACCTACTTATGTTCCTTTGCACAGGGAAATCTAGGGTTGGAGTAAGAATACTAGTAAAGAATCACAGAGTGTCTAGGTTTTCCAATCTCTTCCCCTTTTGTGGCTCTGGATGCTTTATGTTGATTAGTCCTTCAGGGATACTTCCCAATTTGAAGCAGCTAGTTAGCATTCCTCAAGGCAGTGAGAAGGGGTAGCAGAGAAAGACTCCTGAATCTCTTTCCACTGCCACCAGCTGCTGGGTGCTTTTATAATGGTTGTTCAATTCATATGCAACCAAACAGCAAATATTTATTGGGCTTCTGCTACTTCCTAGGTATAGCACCAGTCTTTAGAGATATAAGTGAAGACAGTCTTACCCTCACTGCACACAGTTTTGAGTTCAACATGTAAATACTTAGTGGTAAGTGCTTTGATAGTGGCTGTGTGAATACACAGGAAGGGCATACTCATATACTGTTTTGGGAGTACTGGGAGGGCTTCCTAGAAGCAGTGCCATCTGATTTTGTACTTGAACTATGAGAAGGAGTTTAGCCAACAAAAAGGAGGGGGATTAGCCACAGGGCAGCTCTGATGAAGCAGAAGCAAAAGCAAAGGTCAGAAAGAACATGGTGTGTGTGTGTCTCTCTCAAGGGGGAGGCCGTCAGAAGAGGAGGGGGGAGGAAAAAGAGGGGGTGAGGAAGGGAAAGAGGTGAGGGGAGAAGGAGCAAGGGGGGACAGAGAGAAAGAAATTTGGAGATAAAGAGCTTATCCTGGATTCGATAAAGAAATGGATCTGAGGCACCATGACTTGGGATAAAGAAAATAGTCAGAAGGCTTTTTCATTGTAGTAATTCAGGCAAGGGGCCTTTCTTGGTTTACAGTAGAAGGGGAACAACTCATCCTGATGTGAGCATACCATCTTTATTTTTACTATTTGTGGAAGGTAGGGTCTAACAGAACCCTTAATGATCCTTGTCTGTTGGTATTCATTCCCTTGTGTAGCTCCCTGCCTTTGAGTGTGGGCTAGATTTACTGAATTGGCTTCTACTGAAGAGTATGCAGCACAGGGGATGAGAAGTCACTTCGAAGACAATGTAACAAGGACTGTGGCTTCCATCTTGGGTACCCTCTCTTGTTCTCACTGAGAGAAGCCAGCTACTGTGTTGTGAACTGCCCTTTGGATACACCCAGGTGACAAGAAATTGATCTCTGACCAACAGCCAGTGAGGACATGAGGCCTGCTAATAACCGTATGAGTATTTAGAAGCAGATCTTCCCCTAGTCAAGCCTTGAGATGACTGCAGTCCCAGCCAACACCTGACTACATCCTTGTAAGAGACCCTCAACTAGAGAGAGGTACTTGGCTGCGGAAAAAACAACAAACGTTTTTTGTGTAAGCTGCTAAAGTTTGTTGTTTTAAGCTGCTACTATTTGTTAAGCAGCAATAGATGACTGACACACTATTTGAAACAAAAGAGAAACAAGGGGTTAAACCTGAAACAAGGGAAAAACTATTTCTACAATAAAATGTTCTAACATTCACCTCAGTGTAGACATCAAATCTTCTTTCAGCTTCAGCCTTAGTATCTTCCTACACAGTTCCCTGATTTGGAGATGTTCCTGCCCTCCCAATACATCTAGCTAGAAATCCAGCTGCACTTATTACAAGGAAACATCGAGAGAACATTTCCATACCCACACTCACTGTAAGTCAAGAACTTGGACCTTGAGGATCTCCCCTGGGCCCCTTTATTATGGCTAGACTTTAGCCAACATTCTTCAGAGAGACTAGTGTCTCTCTACCACAAGAAATGGTACTGTCTTAAGAAGTGTTTCTGCCGAATTCGTGACTCAATTCTGAACAAATTTGAGTGTGATTAACTCACCACCACAAGACCTATTGAAATCAGTCATGATGCACATTCCTTGAATCAGCCTTGCTCATTGCCCAAAGACAATAGGTTCTTTCTGTATTTCAGAACTCCACTCTCAGCCCTAAAATGTATGAGACCCTATTTCTCACCGTTCTCTTTCCTATATAACCTTCCTTGTGGAATCCAGGTTCCATGCTTCATAAATACTCTTACACCCTCAATTATTCACTTAATGCTCCTTTTACTCTTGGCCTTCACTGAAGCCTAGCTCTCATGGGACATTACTTCCTCTCACAGCACTCTTTTCCACATCCCACATACTTGAGGTAGTAGGTCTTTGTTTTCCTCACCCTTCCACACCACTTTGAAACCATTACTCCTCCAACTTTCCTGTAACAGCCCTAAATCTTGCGTTATAATCACCTTTCCCATTCCCCAGTGCTGTCACCTACCAACCTCCCAATCACTGTCCTCAATCATTAAATACTTTGGTACAAGGGTCACTAAGTGCCTTTCACTTCAATCACTGCCATCATTCTGAGTAACTTCAACATCCAAGCACATGAGCCATTCAAAACTGAAGCCCCTC